ACGTAAGTAACGACGACCTAACTTTAACGTTAAAACGTAAACGTAAGTAAAAGTAAAGTAACTACGTACTACTACTACTCTACTAGGTAGTTTGTTAGTACTATCTACTCTCTCTCTCTCTCTCTCTCTCTCTCTCTCTCTCTCTCTCTCTCTCTCTCTCATGCACAAAATTTGTAAATTTAGGATGAATGTAAGCCAAACTTTAACTCATTTTCCATTGAAGCTTGCAAAAATGAGCATTGTTTTGAAAAATAAGGAAAAATATCAGTACTCTATATTTGCATCAATTTTGATGGGTTCTTGGACACCAGACGAATCCAATAACAATTAAGTTGCTCCCACAAATGATTAAAATTTGTCCATAGGATTCAGGGCATCCAGGTGTAGGGAAGAGGATATAACTTTTACTTACAGTGCCCATTGCAACCATTGGAATGTTACAAGACTTGAACAATCTAAAAAGAAGGCAGGTCCACATCCTACAGTTAAAATGCAAACAAATGAACAATAAACTGTCAAAAGACCTGCAAACCTCTTGACAAACTTTTAACAAATATTTCGTTTTCAATAAGAAAATAAAAGAAGATCTCGAAACCAAAATCTGCAAAATGAAACAAACAACCAGAATAAAAACCTACCAGAGTTTCTATATAATTTCTTTTTTCTTTTTTTTTAAAGTGTAAAAGCTGCAATACTTCAATTGTCTGAGCATATTTCAAAAGGTCTAATGGCCATTTTGGGGCTCCCCTTTCTTGTATTGCCAAAATATTTCTTTTTTAATTTCCTTTTTTTGGTTAGTTAAGAGAATGAACCCCCATTTATGTTCCATGTTTTCTGCGGATCTATCTCAGAATAAGAGCACGGAATGAAGGGTGATGGAATGGTAGTGTTTCGATCGAAGATGTACAACACAATAAGAGACACTCTTAACTTCACGTAAAATGGTAAACTGAGGCACCATATACCTCCAAATAACCACTAAAGCTCTGATATCATAACATGGAAGTGCCTTTTTATTATGTTAAACTACAACTTGGGAGAATCAATGGGATTGCAACAATGCCATCCTCCCTACTTTACCTGAGAACACAGAGATTCAAGAGGGATCAATCTAGTAAGAGGTCAGTTGGACAACCACAAACCCACACATGATTCTTATTGGTATCTTTGTGTACTAACGTAAAGTTGGGATGTTGACATTATTGCTATGCTCTCTATATGCTGGCAGTTGTATATACTTTCCTACATAAAGCACAAACTACAGTATGTAATGAAATAGTGCATGCAGATAGTACTTCAATACATCTTTATTCTATTTTATGAAGTACCTTACAAGATACAACCTATGTTACCCAGAAATGCCAAATTTGGCAGGATTTCAGGCATCAAAGTGATAATTAAAAAGTCCAGCAATGGAGATATGAGGAGTGTACGAAACCAACAGACACTTTGTGCATGTGCATATATATATTGTGGGACTCCATGCATGCATGTTGAGAATGGCTTGGGGCCTTGGCGGTAGTATTGCCTAGCCCCATGGTGAGGTCTCTGACTCCATTCTCACCAAAGGGTAGGGGCCCAAATCCCCACTGACTTACCACTTTTAGGAAAAGGGCTGGGGTCGTGGTGGTAGCATCCCCACACCCAGTTACCACATCATGGTATCCATTTGTACCACTGACACCCCTAATTAACACTTTCAAAATGTAACTTCCTATCTATTGAAAAAAACAGGTAACGGCCTGTCGTCCCCACTGAATTACCAAAAAGAAAAGAGTCCATGCAGTAACCATGAAGGTATCGTGATCTTGGCTATAAAGGAATTTCATGAAAATCATTGAAACAGAATCACATGCATTTCCAGCATCCTAAATGCACCAAGATGTTATCAAGAGGATCAGCTTTGTTTATTGATGAAGAATACACTGAATATAATCACCAGGCCCTTCCATTCTTTAAATACTCCTTTATACATGAAGTTTCAGGATTGAATCCTTCGAGTACATCTAGGGAACATGAATTTCACCTGAATTATGCTTAAATTCTGGACTAACAAAACCCCTTACATTTCTTCTTCTTTCTCGTGCACATGATGAGCCAAAGCATAACACTCACTTCGCAGGTTTAGGGACTCAACCATGTTATTGGCTTAACCAATAGGGAGGACAACAAATCCATTACAAATGAATGAATTAGATGGTTTTGAAAAGGAACTCGAGTGTGGGACTAATGAGTGGTGATGTCTATATCAATCAGTACTACTATTGACTCTTATTAATAGATGTTACACAATGATTTCAAATGGACATTAATGCCTCTGGCTAACTTGTTAGATTGTTCAGACAAAAATTCTTGCAGTTGGACTTAGTTTTCTTAGTAAGCCGAACCTGATCCAGTCACTAGTGTATAACTTAGATCTGAAATTTGTGCTCTTCAGCACATGGTTTTCTCTATGTTTCTTACATTCCATAACTAAAAGTATACAGAAGCATGGCTTTCTTAGTCATTCCATCACTTAAAATATCACAGAAATACAGCTTTTAAACAAAACATATAGCCAAAATCCAACAGATACATGATAAAAAAGAGTATATGAGCCAGGTAATAGAAAAAATATACAAAAGGAGAACAAAACAACAAAACATTGAATAAAAAAGGTGTGGGTGCTAACCAGGCAGATGAACAATATACGGAGAGAAATAAGCTTGATCTTGCCGTGCCCAGGAGACCCTTAAGGAGAATAGCATATGGCCTGCATTTCATTACAAAATAGTTCAGCTAGGAAGAGAGTTTGTGCATGTCAACAGCTATAGAAAAGCCAAACTCATAAGCACAAAATAGGGGAAAAAATTAAAAAAAATAACAAAAAGAAAAACCCTCAACAAAGTATAATAGCCAACCATCAGAACGTCAACCTCAGGTTGCCAATGCAGAAATTCCAACCCATGATATACTTCTCTAGAACTCCTGCACAGCAAGTCTATGTTTTTCTTTTTCCTATGGGTAAAAAGTCTAATTTGTCTTTTGGCCAAATACAAAGTCAATAAAAGGAATTCTGTAATAGAATCATGCAAAGAAACATGATGAACCAGTGTTTGAAGACTGGCAGAGACGTCTGGGACTTGACATCAAAAGGGTACCAAGGTGAGTTTTCGGGTAAAGACTCAGGTATACAAAAATGATAGTATTTTTATAATTTTTGTTACTAAATCACTGAAAAATGATGTATAATTTTAATGTTTTTCTGATGATATATGCTCAAATTTTCCATATTACCCTTTTTTGGATTTTTTTAAATTGTTTCAAATTATAAATCAATTTTTTCATATTTCATCTGCCACATGCTTTTTTAATCTTTTATTGACTTTAATGATTCTTATAGCTTCATTTGCTTTTAACCATTTTCTTTTTAGCAAATTTTTCTATTCTATTTTGCATTTTTTAGACATTTATGCGCTTGTACATGACTTGGGCAAGTCCACTCAGACTCGTCCAAGTTACTTTGCCCAGGCAGGGGCCAAGTTCTGAGCGCAAACTCAGTTTTTGCACACTGTAATGAACAGAAGACTTGTGTAAATGACTTAAATCAAGTTCCACCGATAAAAGTCCATGGAAACTTAGAGGAGTAAAATGAACTAATATTTTGTATCTTTTCTTTCAAAAGGTTATCACATAAAAGAGAATAACTGAGGCATGGAAAGGCCATGTCAGACCCTGTTATGAGAATAATTATATCTGCTTCATATTCACACTATGAAAATTTATATAAATCGGAAGGGTAACATGTACAAATTCTAGGAGTGTGGTGCATGATTAGATGCATACCCATATAGGAACTGTGATATTGGATGAAGCAATTAGAAAATTTCTTCACTCTACAGTTACGTAACATATACGTATGTGTGTGTATATAATGACATAAAGACTGCATAATGACATACACACATATTGTACGATTTTGTGTGCGTTCGTAAAACCAGCCTCATATCTTGAAAATTTATATTGTTTGCAAAAATTAGATAAGTGATCCAAGATAACCATGAAGAATTTTTAACCACCTTTTCCAGAGGCTCTGTCGATGAACAATGAGTGCAGGAATAAGATACACCGGTAGATAGACTGGCAGTGCTCTTCCATAGGCCTGAATAAGGAAAGAAACAACATGTGCTGTGCAGGATTGATTCCCATGCACCATCTACATCACAATAAAGGACCACCTTCAGAGCTCAGGTGAATTTGATCAGTAAAAGCAGATATGACCAAAACATGGATGACAGCCTTGACACGTGAATTTGATCAGTAAAGCAGATATTCCCAAAACATGGATGACAGCATTGACACGTGAATTTGATCAGTAAAGCAGATATTCCCAAAACATGGATGACAGCATTGACATGTGAATTTGATCGGTAAAGCAGATATTCCCAAAACATGGATAACAGCATTGACACGTGCCATCTTCATACTTAAACAGATTATAACAACTATTTTAGCAGGTGATAAAACAGCAGATTCAGCTAAAGCGATAGAGAAGCAAACATATGAGAAACTCAGTGAAAAGATGGGGAAAAATTGAGTACCCACTCTTAACATACTTATTATGAGAATTCACAAAGAGAGGAAAAGAGCCACTTTGAGGATCCCTACGAAATGAGGCATGGAACAGAGCCACCATGAAGAAGTTCCGGGAGTTACGAAGGAAGCTTGAGGCCCCATATTGGTCATGGGTTGAGAACAATTATTGAACTCTATGAGGTCTAATTGCCCATTGTTCCTTAGTGGCTCAGTGGCGATGTCGACCTTTAACTGACTGGTCATGGCTTTGAACCCTGCCTAGGGAGATTCAAAGGGATCATTTTGACCATTAGAAGTAGGTAACCCAGTCGTTGTCATTGTTTCTATTCCACTCTGTCTCATTGCATCATATTTTGTGATATCTGAGAATCACCAGATCCAGGAAGCCCACCTAATGAACTAATATCAACATAAGATATGATCTAGAATTGTTAAACTACATGAGTAAGCATCTCAAAAGTCATCTATTAAAATTACGTTTTAGTCAAGTAGCAAAACATAAATCTCAATGACAAGTGAAAATGATCTGTGATTAATTTCAAGTTAACAAGACATAAAATAATTGATAAGGCTTCATTTGGGACTGGTTATCTGACTGAATGACTTTCTCACCTACATTGTCATGCTCCAGAATGCCTTTCAGAGTGAAACACAGTCAAACCAAAAAAGAGTCCAGAACCCTTTTTTTTAACATAATGTGAAATGCCGCTTATTTGTGGCATTCTACATCATTTCAGGAAGCAATTTGGAGCAGCAGGAATGCTCCATTGACTGCCTTAGAAAAATAAGCTTTATGCCCAGTAACATTATTTGAAAGTGTCTTCCAAACGCAGCACAAACCATTACAAGGTTTTCTTATTAATGTCTTTTATATATAATTAAAAAAAGTGCCTTATCGGGATTGTATTACAAGAACATGCATGTTTGATTAATGTTTTAGGGGTAAAAAGAAAAATAAATCTTCTCTTCCAAGCTAAAATGCACAAGAAATTGCTGGACCTGGTAACTGCTAACCACTGAATGAAAGAGCATTAACTCTTGATACAAAGGATCAATGAGTCCATTGGGTAACTACTACCATAAAGAGTCCTGTCTTATCCCATCCAAACCTCCAAATGGTGCAAGAAATAAAAGGCCATTCAAAGGCGCCTTTGTTTTTATTATTACAAGGAACTGTATTAAGTGAACAAATCATTCTCAATTGAAGAGTAGCGATGTTATGCTGTTGAATACAATGTTAAATAAAACAGATCAGCGACCCAGATTGCCCATCCAGAAAACCAGTCCGGATCGGCTGGATCCGGCCTTAAAAAATTTTCAAAAAATAGCTAAAGTTTTTTAAAAATCTAATTTCTTATGTTTCCAAAGAAACTGGGGGCATTGCATTGCATATTTTCATTGTTTTATTGAGAATCTGTAAATATGGGATCCTGTTTCATGCTTGAGAATTTATTGACTACCACATCTATTTCATAGTCAAAATGAAGCTTAAAAGGCAGCTAATTGCAAATGGTCGCAATTTTATAATCTCCATTACCACTTCCACTTATAAATATAGGGGATCTTTCTTACTCATTTCTTATTTTCTCCTTTTCCTGAAAATAAATTTATTTAATTACGTATTCATTTCCATTCATATTTTTATTGTAATGAAGTTGCATAAGTCTAAAGATCAAAGCATTTTTTTCTAATTTTTCCCATAGTTTTTTTGTAGAACTTCCTTAATCGCTACATCATTCTGTTAATTTTTTTTTTCTAAATTTTCTTTTGCTTCACTGTAGCTTGATCTTTTCTTGTCATAGAGTAGCTGATTAAATTTTCCTTTTGCTTTGTTTTTTCTAAATCTTTTCTTTTATTTTGACATGCTTTGATTTAAACCGGTGGCTCTCGATTTTATATATATGATGAAAATCACAAAGGGGCAATATCGCATAGATAGAATGAACGTGGTGCTTTGATTTAAATTGGTGTATCAAACAAGAATACTGCATAGGTGGAATAAATATGAATGGATACACAACATTCTTTTCTTAAGGGGAAGGGAGCATTAGTCCCACATCGTGCAGGAGAGGCAGAGAAGGGAGGGCACGACTTATAAAAAGGTTCACGGGATAAGCGAGGTGTTGCATGCGGGTTTGCAACTTAGAAGCAGAGGGGTGGGCCCTCTAGTATCCTTCTTTAAATAAAAAACTAAGTTGGATTAAAAAGAATTCAGGGTATAAAAAAAATAGTAATAAAAAGTACAATGGGACTGGTTCTCTAACACCAGCAGGTTCATGGGGGGGAACCAATCGGATCCCAATATCATGATCTTGATGAGCTTGACTGATTACTAATCTGGATTGGCCAGTTCCGATCTGGATCACAGGTTTTTAAAACATTGATTGAATGTTATAACGGAAAAAACTAAACTCACACTTTATGGAATATGACTTCATTGAGGTTAAGGAACACATTCATGGGTGAGCAATTTCAGGATTTGGAAGAATGCATGAGGCACACAAAGACTGGGCGGTCAGTAAGAATAACATTCGGAATCATAGCCAACTCATGTACCATGGCTCAAAAACAGAAGCAATTAGGAAATGATCAACTGTATGTGAGTACAGATAGTCGAAGCCGACATAAAAGAAAACTTGCATATGGGACAACATATGAGATCAATTCAAAAATGTGGAGGAATGTGCACTTCGATGGAACTATTCTGCCTTAATCTACGCAAATCCAAGACATGCATTAATAGAATGTAGAACTCCTAAAAGTAAAGTGTATGCTTCATAGAAAGTGCTGAAATAAGAGGTCTTTCCATTATTTTCAAGTGTTCTAACCTTTTCATGGATGAGCAAACACTTACCTAAGGGCCTGTTTGGGTGCATGGATTTTAAGGCATGGATTCCTAATATCTTGGATATTGTCAAAATCCATTGTTTGGATTGATTAACGACTAGGATACTTAAAATCAGGAAAATCAAAACCATGGTAATAAGTCCTACTTTTCCATTATTTCATTTCCGAACCAAAACCTATTTTTTTGCATTTCCAAAGCCCATGGATTGGTAGGGAGCATTTGGTAGGTACGAAAATTTTAAAGAGAGGAAGTACCAAAATTTTTTAAAGAGAGAAACTATCTCAAAATTTTTAGAGAGAAACTATCTCAAATTTTAACTTTTAGAGAGAAAGTATGTTAAAATTTTAGAGAGAGAAGGTATGTTAAAATTTTAGAGAGAGAAAGTACCAAACTTTTTTAGAGAAATGAACTATTTCAAAATTTTAGAGAGAGAAACTATCTCAAATTTTAACTTTTAGAGAGAGAAAGTATGTTATAATTTTAGAGAGAGAAAGTACCAAAAATATTTAGAGAGATAAACTATCCCAAAATTTTAGAGAGATAAACTATCTCAAATTTTAAGTTTTACAGAGAAACTATCATATTTTAGAGAAAGTACATGCAAATTTTTAGAGAGAGAAACAATCTCAATGTTTTAGAGAGAGAAACTATATCAAAATTTTTAGAGAGAAACAATCTTATATTTTCATTTTTAGAGAGAGAAACTATATCAAATTTTAGAGAGAGTGCCTAAAGAGTTTTAGAAATAGAAACTATCTCAAAAAATTTTAGAGAGAGAAACTATATCAAATCTTATGTTTTAGAGAGAAAATATTCTTAAAATTCTAGAGAGAGAAAGTATTCTTAAATTTTTAGAGAGAAACTACTATAAATTTTAGAAAGAGAAATGGCCAAAAAAAATTTAGAGAGAGAAATATCTCTTTTTTAGAGAGAGAAACTATATCAAATTTTCAGTTTTAGAGAAAAACTATCTCGAATTTTGACTTTTAGAAAGAGAAAATATATTAAAATTTAAAAAAAAGAAATTATATCAAATTTTAGAGAGAGAAACTACCTAAAACATTTTAGAGTAGAAACTATCTCAAAAAGTTTGGAGAGAGAAACTATCGCAAAATTTATGTTTGAGAGAGAGAAAGTATATTCAAATTTTAGAGAGATAAACTATATCAAATTTTATATAGAGAAAGTACATGAAATTTTTAGAGTGAGAAACTATCTCAAAAAGTTTAGAGAGAGAAACTATCTCAAAATTTAAGTTTTAGAGAGAAAAAGTATCTCAAATTTTAAACTTTAGAGAGAGAAAGTATATCAAAGTATAGAGCGACACTATATCAAATTTTAAATAGAAAAACTATTTCAAAATTTTAGAGAGAGAAACTATCTCAAACATGAAGTTTTAGAGAGAGAAAGATTTCTTAAAATTTAAGAGAGTAACTATATCAAATTTTAGAGAGAGTACATAAAATTTTTTAGAAAAAGAAACTATTGCAAAATTTTTAGAGAGAAATTATCTCAAATGTTAGCTTTTAAAAAGAAAGTAATTTGAGAGAAAAACTATATCATATTTAAGAGAGAGAAACAACTTGAAAATGTTTAGAGAGAAACTATCTCAAAATTATTGAAAAGGGGAACTATCTCAAGTTTTAAGTTTTAGAGAGAGAGTATCATAAAATTTTAGAAAGAGAAACTATATTAAATTTTAGAGAGTACAGCACCTAAACATTTTAGAGAGAGAAATTCTCAAAATTTTTAGATAGACAATTTCAAATTTTAAATTAGAAAGTATATTAAATTTTAGAGAGACGAACCATATCAAATTTTAGAGAGAGAAACTATCTCAAAATTTTTATAGATACACTATCCCAAATTTTGTGTTTTAGAAAGTGAAAGTATATAAAATTTTAGAGAGAGAAATTGTATCAAGTTTTGTTACAACCAATCGACATGGAAGTGATTGCAAGGAATCCATGAATTTTGTATAGTTTATCCAAACAAGAGATTTGAGGAATCCATGACAAAAATCCTTGATATTGAAAATCTATAGATTTCCTTGGATTTCAAATATCTAGGATTCCTAATTTCCCCATATCCAAAGGGGCCCTAAAAGAATATGGAAGGAAAAAGATGTCTACAGAAAAATAATAAGAAAAGAAAAAAGACATGCAAAACCATGTCAATGACCAAAAATAATAACAAAAGAAAAAAAAGGATGCAAAACCATGTCGATGACCATTTCATATATCAAACAAATTATCAGAGTCGAATAGAATTTACAGGGCCTAGTGAAAAATGTTTGGGGCATACCGTGCATGGAACTTTCATAAGGGGGTCTAACTTAATATCAACACCCTTGGACTGATAATGCTTTTCTATCTCCTCCAAATTAGTCAAAGGCATACCAGTTGCAATCTCTTTGATCCCATGCAGAATAGAGGCATGCTTTCCACCATGATGGTTGAGGAAAGACCTATATGAGGAAGGCAAGCTATCTTGCTTTAAAATGTAAGCTGACCTGCAAAGAAACACAACTGCACACATCAAGACAACCAAAATCAGAAAAACTGATGTGGTCTTTGAAGACTCAAATTGATCCTATCAAGAAAAAGATAATCCAGAAAGACTAAAAAATTTGGAGTTTGTACTTAAAAGGAAAAGAATCTTCAAGCAAGATTAACCCAAAATTCAACATTTTATATGATGCTTAGATGTCAACAAAACTCATTTAACATAGAAAAACAAACAGGAAAATGGTCTGAAAATTTGACTTGAGACCTCGTGTGCTGGTAACAAGACATGTCAGCTCATGCCAATGGCAGTATCATGATATGCATTTTAATCTATTATGTAAAATGACAATAGATGGTATGTGAAGTATAAGAGCACTAAAGTATTCTGACCAGTTGCAGTTAACTTAGGAATCATCCCATTAGCTTCTCTTTGAACATATTTTTCTTCAAAAATGCAGCACAACCAAACACACCTAACCACTTCCCTTCCCCCAACACCTCATTCCAACACATACATGCACATCAAGAAACACCCACAGGTACATCCAGAGTCATTGGGTTCGGAAGCAGAATCAGGATCGGGATCGGGGGATCGTGAAATGCTAGAAGATCCCTTTGGTTGGAAGCATTTTCCGTACAATGCATATGTTGAGGGTGAACATCCCCAAATGTTAAGGATCAAGATACCAACTTTATGGGGATCTTCATCCTGACCTTTTGGGATCTTGAACCCAACCTTTTGGTGTCTGGGATTATATATACTCCTTAAAGTAGGTATCTCTTTATTTATAAGCAGCAACCAATGTAGTTATATTCGATATCTTAATTCAGGAGAATGGAGAGATTGAGAATAATGTCGCACATAAAATTAGAGCTGGGTGCGCGAAGTGGAGATGCACATCAGTAGTTTTATACGATCGCCACATACCAATGAAACTAAAGGTGAAGTTTAGAGGACAGCTATAAGACCAGCCATGCTTTATGGGACAGAATGTTAGATGGTCAAGAAACAACATATCCATAGGATAAGTACAACTGAGATGAAGATGTTGAGATAAATGAGTGATATGACAAGAAATGATAGAATTCGGAATGAATACAAAAAGGAACTTAGGGGTGACTCCAATAGGAGCTAAGATTAAAGAAAGTAGACTTAAATGGGAAAGCCGCGTGCAGCGTAGACCTAATACAACACCAGATAGGAGGGACGAATTGGTTTAAATGGAAGGTTCTAACAGGGTAAGGGGAAGACCCAAAAGGACATGGATGCAAATAGTGAGAAGAGATATGATGACTTATAGTTTGATTGAGGGAACCCTTGCTATAGTAAAATGGTGGAACAAAACTCGTGTAGCTAACCCCAAATAGTTGGAATAAGGCTTAGATGATGATGATTAATAAGCAATACAATTATATTAAAACTACAGTTTTGGCTCTAACTGGTTATAAATAAAGAAAATCATCAGTTTGATTTTTATCTAGTCTTTGAGGTTGGGGTCGAGATCCCTAACAGTGGGAACGGGGATCACTAATAGTAGGGATCAGGATCCCAAAATTTAGAAATCGAGATCCCCTTCCCGGAGTGCGGGAGCAAGATCCTGGAGCGGGATTGCCACCTATTTGGAAGGTCCCGTATGGATAGCTTACACGCACACACCATACACAATCCAAGGGCATGCCACAAAGAATCCTCAAATCCAGGTTAAGCCTTTAAGCCATAAGATATCATATCATCCAAGAAAGAGGCTATGAAGAACAAATATCTGTAGTAAGACATTATGAATAATTGATAAAAGATCACGAAAGTAATTTGATGATTGCCACTAGCTCAGCTGAGTGCAAAGAAAGAATATAATCAGTTTTTAACTCTTGATGAACAAGTATATGGCAAAAGTTTATCAAAGTTGGAATAAATATAATGAAGACAGTTCAGAATTCTATTAACACTGATATTCAGACAATTAATGCAATAATCCAACAACTCAGAATCCATGGCATTCTCATACATGACACCTCAGAACCTCAGTCACTATGTTGTATTTAAACTAAAGGGGAAAGGTAGCAAAATAAAGAGCAGAGACAACTAGTGACAATAATAATACAATTAGGAGTTTTGATTGAAATTTGAAACAATAATAAATTTCTGATAATGAATCAAAAGTCATAAACATAAAAAACATATTTAAGTAACAATAATTAGTAGAAGTTGCATAAGGCAATCGGAACTTTATAAAGAGTACATACAGAATTTGTGAAGAGGACAGGCACATTAGGAAAGTGTCGCCATGGGTCCATGTCAACGGTTTGCACAAAGGTCCAAATCTTCTACTCTTTATACCACAACGTGATGCTAAGACAGCAGCACGCATAAAAATGTAAAGAGCCAAGCTTGTATGCTGAGTGCGAGGTCCAGTCAGAAGCATTGCTGGCCCAGCAACTCCCCCGGCTAATAAAGCTCGCCATTTTGCAGTTCTGTGCCCACATATACATTCATATGATAAATATTACTATTTTCTCCGCACAAAAGGAAAAGCAGAATGTCACACATTAGCTCTCTAGAGTCTTGTGTTACTTCGCGAGATCTGTGAACATAAGAAGATACTATTCTTCCTTTAGTTCCAAACTTCCAATAATCATCTAAAGCCACGTATAACAATTATCCCATTTTGCAGCAAGAACCAATAAATAACCACAGCGGAGCAGTCAAGCAGTAGATAAAAGGATGAGAAGTTTGTTGTCCAAAACAGATCAACAAATTTTCAGAGGTTTCATGACACTACTGATTCATGCACTAGGAACTTTAACTAAACAAATCATACCATTGAACACTGTACATTTTTAGACTTCCACATGAAAAAAAAGTGTTTGTAAGTTCCAGGAATATTTGTTAAGGATAACAAGCAGTTTTATGATGATATAACAAACAAAATCATGAGAGCAGATACCTTTCTTTGCATACTGAGGACATATGGGACTCGTCTATACAACTTCACACTGAGAAAGTTTCTTACGCACTTTTCAGTCAATGGTAGCAAAATCTTCACAAAACATGTATAGAACCATAGAACAAGGATACCTTAATACAGCACATATATATTGAAACTAAAGTCCATCTACAACTGACAAATATTATTATATGAAAACAGATCATAACTTCCCAAATGAACAGACAAATATTTTTGGATAGGGACAGGTAGAGTAGACAATATTAATGGATAAAATCAGATCGAAAGTGCTTACGGGATGTGACACAACTATTACTTGCAAAACTTACATGGCCAAAAATATGAACGCCTGATATATTCAATTCATAGAGGAACACAATAGATTCAAACTCTGAGTAAATATCAAGTACAAATACATATTCAACCCAACATTCATATACACCCATTGTTTCAAAAAGCGGACCGCCCAGCACCTGGGCAGATTTCCTTGGGCACCCGCCTGAACCTGCCTAGGCGGCCACCCAGGGCCTGCGCCCCACCCAAGGGTGGAACTGCGGCTCCTTGAGGGTATTTTTATGTCATTTTTTTAATACTAAAGAGGTAAAAATTGTGGGTTTTAGGTTCATTTGAAACCTAAAACCCATTAGAGGCTATTTTTGAGAGAGAAAACACAAAAAGAAAAATATTTCTATTGGGCCGCCCAGGTTCTGGGCGGCCTGGACCACCCTAACCGCCTAGGAGCCACCTAGCGCTTTTTGAAACACTGCATACACCACATACAAAATAAGACAAGTTCATGTTGTGGAGGCCGCTCTAAAGGCCTTAGAGGGTTGTTGACCTACGTATGGTTCAATACTTGACTTTCCCACCCATATGGAGAGGACCCTTCAAAGTCCTCTTGCAAGTCCCTATCAACCTTAGTTGCTATTTGTTCAGAAAAATTTTAAGACTATCCCCATTCCGTCCCCTTGAAAATTATTAGACTTTATATTTCATGTAGGGCAGCCATCATATTCATATGGATATATATAAAAAATGAACATATAAGCGTAGAGGAAAAGGTATCCAATGAGCAGCTGGTTTAGACTTTGTTTGAAAACTGCGAATGACGCCGGCCCACAAGACCTGAAGATCCATCATCACCACCCAATCTTTCTCTGGTCAGTGCAGTTCCATAGCATCATATACTTCTCAATAATGAATAAAGTCAATCGACATTTCTTGAACCATATACCTATATGATCCAAAATTTCTCTATTTGCAAATCCAAATAACCAACAAGAGAACTGACTACCATGAGGTTTAACCCCTCAGCCCATTCTTGTGGTACCTTTGATTTGAATAAGCTGAGAAAGAATCAGGCATCACCCATGAGATATGAGACAACCTCAATCTATCTCTCGAAAGAGCCCACCATAGCTGAACCAGCAGATTGTCTACAATCTCTTCCTCATCGACTCATCTCTATGTAGAATGCACACAGAGTGAAGCCTATGTGTTAGACCTGCCAAACTTTTTGAAAGTTGCATCCTTTCAAAATCAAAGCTGCCAATCATATTATCGATGTCATGTCCTAAAGTACATTCTCAAACGGTAGTACATTCCTGCAAGAGTATGATATGCATTGGTGATTGGTAACCTAGTCATGTCCAAATATATGGCTCTACAACACGTTAAATAGTATCATTGGAATCATCTTGCACTTTTTAATAAACTTTGGTAGGTTTGCAAAGTTTATAACAAGATGAATCATTTGGCTTTTCAGAGCCATAATACGTTAATCCCACCTACATATCAAGGATAAGGATCTCCATTCTCCATAAAGCATTTTTTTTCGATGTCAATTGTTTCTCCATAAAGTCCAGATCAGAATCAAAGATGCCAACCATGATGGGTAACCATTACCCGTCATTCACACTATAATCAGTTCAACATCATCAAGCCGAGCTCTATTTCATGCCTATCATTTTTCCTTGTCGTACGAATCAAGAAGAGTTCTCACACTTGGAACTTCTTGAAGTTAAAGTTCATTCCACAAGGATTCATTGTGAAGAATCAAAAGATTATTTAAGGAACTAGCTCCAGAGAATCTTCCTCGGACCTAAGCATGTCCAGCAAGAATCAAGTCTTGGCCATTATTTGTCATACCAAGTAGAGCATTACCCTCAATAAAGCTTCCACCATCATTTGGAATCCTCTTCAATGAAAAATCTACAGACATGCTTATAAGTGTTTTTTAGGACCACCTAATGAACCATATGGTATTTAGAAAAGTAGATGTAGGAAAAGGATTCAACTGTGAATCTCTTCAATTACATATGGGTCATGGTTATGATGAATATCAATCAGCGATTTAAAAAATGGATCGGTGACCCGGATTGGGCACCCAATAAAATGGCCCGAATCAGCAATCCAGATCGCCGTTTTATTATGCGGAAAACGCAGTGAACCGGCGAAAAAACACGTGAAAAAATAGAGAACCAGCCAAAATCCAATCCCGATCGGTGAATCGGCGGTCTAAATCGCCGTTTTACTATGTAAAACTGCATTTCTTCTAGACTCGGCCGTTTTCCTATATATACAGAGAATCGAAATGGGGTGACCAATTCTCAGGTCGAACCAGGTGATTCCGTGCCAACCCGGCCTTTTTTAAATCATTGATATCAATCATCATCATTATCGGATTCTTTATGATGAACATTAATATATCATCTAAAGGTTTCCTCTATAGTATTAAAGGCCTTAGGCAAAGGGATCCCCTCACCCTATTTCTCTATTCCATCATATTTAAATCTCTTAGAGGACTTGTGGACAAGGAGGCTCGTTTGGTTTCTCAAGGCATCATGACCAGCCAGCCAAGTTCATAATTACTCCCTCACATTTTGTGGGATTAATCCTTCCCATGTGTAAAATTTGAGTTTGTTTGTTGGTTGCTTTAGATTGAATCATCTCAGCGACTTAATTAAGGCAAAAGAGAGATGGCCTCAAAGGGGTTTGTTCTTGTGGCAGTGAATAGAGAAGGGCATAGCTTTCAACTCACAAGATGAGAGAATATTTGAAGACAGAAGAAAAGTATGTGGACCTGGGGATCAAGGGGATTGAAGTAATCAAGCAATTTTTAGTTGGTGTTAGGAACCTGGCAAGTAGGAAAATATTTTAAATAGAAACAATTCTGTAAATCTTCTAAATAGGAAAAAATTATTAGGTTTTGGTACATTAGAGTTGAGTTGGGTTACTATCTTACTTCGGGAGAAGTAGACAGATGAGGCATAAAGACACAGTTGGTTTCACTTTTAATAGCAATTTGGACTGCAAATTTGGATTAAGGTTTTAGTAAGTTTGGGATTTAGGATTGAAGTGTAAGTAGCGTAGAGAAGATGATCAAAGGTGCTATGAGATATGTAGTGAGAAGGAAGAAAATTAAAGAGAAACCCTCTCTTTAAATTGCTTTCAAAATTTGATGGAGGAATGGTTATTGAAGGGGATTCAGTGAAGATTATAGCATGGTGTAAAGGAAAACTGAGAGTTCCTTGGAGACTCTCTCCCATTTTTCATGAAATTGGTGACATTCTTCAGTCATTTGAGTTTGAAATACTTTATTGCTACCATGAAGCAAACGCTGAAGCAGATTCTTTAGCCAAGGGAGGTGCTTTTCAATCCTCATCGGTGATTACCAATTTCGTGTGATGTATCTTTATGTTCTCCGATCCCCTTGTAACTATTTATAGTTAATAAAAGTCACGTGTTAATGTTAAAAAAAGAAAGAAAGAAAATTAAGCAGAAACCCTACTGGAGGACCAGCTCCCTCAAAGTGGCTTGTAAGGAGGTTGGCTCATTAGAAGCGGCTATATCTAATAAAGTTACTATTTTTTATGGTATTATGATTTTATATTTGGTTGATAGCAATTGAAAAGGTTCTCTCTTTTTTCTTTTATTTGTTAACCAGTACACAGGGCTCTCATATATTCAATTGGATCCAATTCAGTCTTTTCTATGTCTTAAACACCATGACTGTAATTCAGAAAGTTGCGATGTGAAGGATTCACCAGGATTGAACTAGAGAGCCATAAATGTGAACTTTTTAAGCTAAGATGCCTTCAGAAGAAGCCATAAGAAACCATAAATGAACACAATAACCAAAAAAAATGAAATATTCAATTGATTTTTTCTCACAATAACAGCCATAGAAACCATGTCTCAACAGAATATGAAACCAACCATTATTCAAGACTAAAAGCAAGGAACTTGAATCGCAATAATCATTCTAAGTTTTGCATGTCATAACAATTATAAGAAAGGAAAGAGAAAAACAACAATATAGAAAGAGAAACTGATCACTAATGACATACATGAAGAAAGGTAGAGAGAGAGAGAGAGAGAGAGATTGAGAGAGAGTTGGAGAACTATAACATGCCTATGATGTCCTCCAAAAGCTGCAACGAACTCGTCAACTGAAACAAATGTCCCAGCAAAAGTCCCCAGAAAAAGTCCATATCTAAGCGTCTCTTTGATGGCCTCAACAATTGCCTCTGGATTCGAAGCAACCCTCGCCTTCCTATAATCAATCAATTAATGCCCATCAAAAGAATTGCAGGTTATCTAAAACCCTCTAAAACTGAAGGAACCAAAAACCGTTAGAATCTCCATGACCACACCATACCTTTGTCTGCTTCTAAGCCGAGCTAGAATACCAAAGGCTGCAAGGCCTCCTTTTAATCCAGCACCAATCACGAAACCCTTTGCACAAGCATAAGCACATCTCTCAAGCCTAGCCCATTCTGAACAAGGAGAAGATGAGAGGGACTCAGGATTATCGCCTGGTTTCAAGCGATCTGGGTCATCGAATTGTGACATTTTCTCCCCGCAGTTCCCGCAATCACCATTGGTTTCTGAAGCCCGACTAGAGAGAGAATCCATCTTTGATTCGAATTGTGACATGTTCTCCCCGGAGTTCCCGCAATCACCTCGACTAGAGAGAGAAACCATCGTTGGTTTGGGCACTTAGAAAAATAGGGTTTTGTAGGTATCTAGGGTTTTGAGGGTTTCGCCATTGATGGAGAGCAGTGAGAGAGGGGATTGCAGAGGGCTAGGATTGATATAACCGGAGGTGGCGATGGTGTTTTTCTGACATGCATGGAATGTAAAGAAGAACGAATCGAAAAGTGGGGCTTGTTTATGGAATATCAGATGACGGTGGTGAAGATTGTGTACACATGGCATATTATATGTGGTTTTTCACTTGATGATGTGGATACTTGTTTGCTTTCTGTGTTTTCTTGCCTCGCGGCTCGGCTGGGTTCCTCTTTTGGCTCGGCTCCTCGGACACGATTTCTCGGAGTCCATGTTGAAGTTATTTATTGGGTGCCTTCAAATTTTATCATATTATATAATTTTCATATTATATAATATTCTTGAGATTATTTCAAAATCTATTTTTATATCTAATTATATAATTTTAAATTTTAAAAATGGTTAAAATCAAATAGATCTATAAATATATGAAAATCTTGAAAATGGACGGTACAGATAATATGTTGTAAGATGCACTATTTTTGAGTCTCAATCTTTTTATTTTTCATAGTCATACATCTCGATGTCGAGATGATTTTCAACATTAAAATAACTTTTTTCGATAGATTTTTGAGGTGCATCTATAGTTCTAGTGTAAGGTTGCAAACCTTATGTAAACTTTTTCCTTATTTAAAATAAGAAAGGAAATGTTTCTATACTTCCCCTACATATCATTAAAATTAGGTCGCGGGTTGTATAGAGCCGAGGCTCTAAACAATCAAATTAGAGCCCACCTTCAAACAGTGTCGAAAAAAGTGGTTTCAATATTGAAAATCTGTACGATAGCCTAAAAATATATTATTAAATTTAATTATAAAATTTAAAGCTTTAAAATAGTATAGATCAAGCATATTTATAAAAACTTGAAAAACTTCAAAATTGACGATCTAAAAATGTGTTACAAGATGTATTATTTCTAAAACTGAAAATCTATTTTTTTTCTCATATCCATGCATCTTGATGTCAAGATGATCAATTTGA